ATTTGATTTAATCTTTTATAAATAGCAATTGTTTTTTTATTATTTAGAATTTGTCCGGGTTTTGCCAGCAAGTATAGGTGCATAGCATGCCACGATAATGGTATCAAGATCATACTTAATAAAGTGATCTACCATCACCTAAACTGTTTTTCTATAGTGTGGATTTTCATCAGGTCCACTATTACTTATCATTACCACCATGGGTTTAGGCTGGCCGTTTGTTGTAGTAAAGTTGTACAATTTCTTCTCAACCATCAGGTCATCAAAGTCTTTGCCATGAGAGTAAGCAGTACTACTATCATGTTTACCGCTACGAATTCTTATAAACATTGGGCCTAAATATGTTACTGCTTCAGCTTGTTCATATTTATCTTTTTGTATGTCTAATATTAGCTCTAATACTGCATAAACTGAAGGAATCAGTTTATGCCTTTTAGCAACAACCCAATCATGATCTGGCAGTTCTACTCGGTATTCTAACTTCATAAGAATCGGTGCTATATGAATTAATTAATTATTATTAGTAAGTTTTATCTTTTTATTTATTTATTTAGTAATTCTATTTTATTTTAAATTATAGTAACCTTGTTTGTTGGCCGTGGCTAAACTGAGAGGTATTTGTGCTTTATCATCTTAAGATATTACTAAAGCACTTTTGAAACCCAATAATGACACCATTTCTTTTATATTTCTTATTAAAGCAGCACAAAAGAGGTGTGGCGATCTAGTGTAGTGGTTAGGTTGTTACCCTCACCAAGTGGCAGGTCAAGAGTTCAAAACCCACCGATGGCGAAAATTCGAATAATTACCTGTGTTACGGCAACCATCTTCTGACGATCAGTTGGGATAGGATACCTGTAACTATGGTCGCACCAGCATGACTGGCAGGTCTGGGGCATCCGTGCAACCTTGGGTTATACGGAGGAATGCAAACCGGCAATGGGCAGTGCAAACACTCAATAAGTCCCTAGGTCACGTAAATCCGTAGGACTGGGAGGACAGAAGCCTATTTGGGAAGACCCGAGTGAAGAGGTAGCACAAATCTTCGATGGTACTACTGTAAAGGCTAAACCTGGGAAAAGGAAACCGAAGTGGAAGAACCGTACAGGGCACGATCGGTTTGTGGTAAAGCCGATTCACCAACCAGGCCGCTGGGTTAACTGGAGGAAAAGGTCATGGCAGAGCTGATGAACCAAGGACAGGTCACAGTCCTTCCGGGCTATTTGGATTGGTAGTCTAGGACTAAAGCAGAGGGGAACTAAAGTACTGAGGATATGCTGTGAAGTGGGTACCGGGGTTTGGGTGAACTTTGCAAGGGCATAGCCCTGTTGATAGGACCATAGAGTGGGTAGGTTGTTGACAGGGGGGCAC